AAACACCACTTTTCTGAGTTTATCTCATTTGATAGTAAAAATGTGGTGTGGGTTAGAAAGCACAATGATGAGACAAATGAAAATATTTTAAGTTTTAGTATGTAACTATTTGTTATTTTATTTATATGTTATATATTTTTTATTTTTAAATTTAAATTAGAAACAAGGTAGCATCACATGTCAATCCGAGGTCCCTCTCCCTTTCTCTCCCCCTCCCCCATTCTCTCCAACTAACCCCCCCAATATCCCCTCATTTCCCCAGGAGGCTAAGACCTTCCACGGGGTGTCCATAGTCTGTCATTTCATCCAGGGCAGGCCCTAGACCCTCCCCCCAAGAGTCCAGGCTGAGAGTGCATCTCTCATTGTTGGATGGCACCCAAAGTCCATTTATATGCCAGGGATAAATACTGATCTACTACCCAAGGCCCCATAGATTGCCTAGGCATCCTCACTGACACCCACATTCAGGATGTCTTGATTAGTCCCATGCTGGATTCCCAGCCATCAGTCTGGGATTTGAGAGCTAACCCTTGTCAGGTCAGCTGTTTCTGGGGGTTAAACCAGCCCAGTCTTAACCACTTTGATCTTCAGTCCTCCCACTCTGTCACTGGGTTCCTTGAGTTCAGTTCAGTGTTTAGGTGTGGGTGTCTGCCTCTGCTTCCATCAGCCATTGAATGAAGGTTTTGTTTCCTAGCCTCTCTTGCCATGGGACTGTAGGCTAGCACTCCCCAGATCTATGTCTAAAATCCATATATGAGAGAGTACATACATTGTTTGTCTTTTTTGTGACTGGGTTACGTCACTCAGGATGGTTTCTTCTAGTGCCATCCAATTGCCTGCAAATTTCATGATTCCATTGTTTTATTCTGCTGAATAGTACTCCATTGTGTAAATGTACCACATATTCTCTATCCACTCTTCAGTTGAGGGGCATCTAGGTTGCTTCCCAGATCTGGCTATTACAAATAATACTGTCCTTGTTGTATGAATGGGTATCATTTAGATATATGCCAAACAGTGGAATTGCTGGGTCTTGTGGTAGGCTTATTCCCATTTTTCTGATATGAATCTCCATAATGATTTCCAAGGTACCAGTATAAGTTGTCACTCCCACCAGTAGTGGAGGAGTGTTCTCCTTTCTCAACAACCTCTCCAGCAGAAACTGTCATTTGTGTTTTTGATTTTAGCCATTTGACAGGAGTAAGATGGTATCTCAAAGTTGTTTTGATTTGCAATTCTCTGATGGCTAGGGATGTTGAGAACACTCACCTCTCAGCCATTTTAGACTCCTCTATTAAGAATTCTCTATGTAGTGCTGTAGTGCACTTTTAATTGGATCCTTTGATGTTTTGGAGGCATACTTCTTGAGTTCTTTGTAAATTTTGGAGATATGGGGTTAGTGAATATGTTTTCCCACTCTGTGGGCTGCCTTTTTGTATTGTTTTGTATTGTTGACTATGTCCTTTGTCTTACAGAAGGTTCTCAGTTTCAGGAGATCCCATGTATTAATTGTTGCCCTCACTCTCTGTGCTACTGGTGTAATGTTCGGGAAGCTGTCTCCTGAACAAATTCATTCAAGGGTACCACCAACTTTCTCTTCTAAGAGGTTTAGTGTGGCTGGATTTATGTTGAGTTCTTTGATCCATTTGGACTGAAGTTTTGTGCCTGGCGATAGGCATGGGTCTATCTGCATTCTTATACATGCAAGAATCCAGTTATGCCAGCACTATTTGTTGAAGATGCTTCCTTCTTTCCATTGTATATTTTTAGCTTCTTTGTCGAAGATCAGATGTTCATATATGTATGCATTAATATCAGGGTGTTAAATTTGTTTCCATTTATCTGTCTGTTTTTGTGCCAATAACAAGTATGACCTGATGATTCTTTGAATTTCCTGAGTCCATTGCTATGTCTCCTTTTCATTTAAGATTTTGGTAATTTGCATGTTCACACTCTGCTGATTGGTAACTTTGGACAATGGTTTGGCTATCTTGTTGATTTTCTCAAAGAACTAACTCTTCATTGCATTGATTCTTTTTATTGTTTAACTAGTTTTTACTTTATTGTTTTCTGGCCTCAGTTTGATTATTTCCTGGCATCTACACCTCCTGGGTGACTTTGCTTCTTTGTGTTCTAGAACTTTCAACTGTGCTGTTAACTTTCTAGTGTAGCTATTTTTCAGTTTCTTCATGTGGACACTTAGTGCTATGAACTTCACTCGTAGCACTGTTTTCCAAGTTTCCTTTAGGTTTGGGCATTTTGTGTCTTCATTCTCATTGAATTCTAGGAAGTCTTTAATTTTTTTGATAATTTCTTCTTTGACTCAGGAACGGTAATATTGTGCATTATTCAATTTCCATGAGATTGTAGGGTTTCTGCAATTTGTGTTGTTCTTTACTTCTAATTTTAACACATGGTGCTCTGATAAGATGCATGGAGTTAATCCAATTTTTTGTACCTGTTGATGTTTGCTATTGTTGCCAAGTATGTGGTCGATTTTTGGGAAGGTTCCATGTGGTGCTGAGAAGAAGATATATACTTATTTATTTGGATGGAATGTTCTATAGACGTCTGTTAATCTCAATTGGGTTATAATTTCTATTAGCTTCTTTGTTAAGTTTCTGTCTGGTATTCTTGTTTAGTGGTGAAGGTGGGGTGTTGAAGTCTCCCAATATAAGTGTTTGGGGCTTTATATGTGATGTGAGTTTTAGTGATGTTTCTTTTATGATCATGAATGCGTTTGTATTTGGGGCATAGATGTTCAGAATTGAAACTTCATCTTGTTGGAGTTCTCCTTTGATGATTATATAATGACCTCCTTCATCTCTTTTGATTGATTTTAGTTTAAAGTCTAATTTATTAGATATTAGAATTGCTACCTCCGCTTGTTTCTTGGGTCTACTTGATTGGAAAATCTTTTCGCAATCTTTAACTCTTTGGTAATGTCTGTCTTTGAGGCTGAGATGTATTTCTTGTATGCAGAAGAAGGATGGGTTCTGTCTTCGAATCCATTCTGTTAGCTTGTGTCTTTTTATGGGCAAGTTATGACCATTAATATTGAGGGATATTAATGACCATTGATTGTTCATTATTCTTTGATTTGGAATGGTTGTTGGTGGTGTAATTATGTGTTGAATTCCACCCTTTCTTTCTTTTGGCTGTTGGTAAGGTGGGATTATAATGCCTATATTTTTCTGGTTGTAGTGAACTTCCTTGGGTTGGAGTTTTCCTTCCCGAACTTTTTGTAGGGCTGGGTTAGTGGATATGCATTGCTGGAATCTAGTTTTGTCGTGGAATATCTTGTTATCTCCATCTATAGTGATTGAAAGCTTTGCTGTGTATAGTAGTCTGGGCTGGCATGTATGGTCACTTAGTATTGGTAGAATGCCTATCCAGGACCATCTGGCTTTCAGATTTTCCTTTGAGATGTTAGGTGTAATTCTGATAGGTTTGCCTTTAATGTTACTAGACTTTTTTTCCTTAGCTGCTCTTAATATTTTTTTCTTTATTCTGTATATTTGGGGTCTTGATTATTTTGTGGCGAGGGGACTTTCTTTTTTGGTCCACTCTATTTGGTGTTCTGAAAGCTTCTTGTACCTTCATTGGCATGTCTTTCTTTAGGTTGTGAAAGTTTTTTTCTATGATTATGTTGAATATATTTTCTGCCTCTTTGAGGTGGTTTTCTTCACCTTCTTCTATACCTATTATTCTTAGGTTTGGTCTTTTCATGGTGTTCCATATTTCCTGGAACATATTTTGTGTTAGGGATTTTTTGGATTTAAGATTTCCACTGTCAATGAATGTATTTCTCCTAGCGAATTTTCAACATCTGAGATGCTCTCTTCTAACTCATGTATTCTCTTGGTTATGCTTGCATCTGTAGTTTCAGATGAATTGCTCACCTTTTCTAGTTCCAGTATTCCTTCACACAGTGATTTTTTTTATTGTCTCTATTTCAGCTTTCAAACCTTGCACTGCTTGAATTATTTCTTATAATTTTTGGTTTGTCTTTTCTTCCATTTCTTTAAAACATTTTCTCATTTCTTCCTTTAGGGTTTCTATCATCTTCATGAAGTTGGTTTTTAGGTCATACTCTTCTTTTTCATCTCTGTTTACATTGTATTATATACTAACGTTATAAAAATCTATGCTAGATATGTTGGGACAACCTGTGTTCTCAGTACTTGCCATGTGCAATCAGAAAATATAGAAACATAAAGTCATTCTGTACAAACTGCCAAGTTAATGCCCAGCCTGTGGAACAGGAGGATGCATCTCAGACAAACATTCATCTGATTTTCTGATAAAATTGACTTATACATGAAAGTCAGCATAGACATTTTCATCAATTGCCCTGTAGTCATATATTGTTATTTACCTGATAACAGGATGTCAAATAATTGCTGTTTTTCTGATATTTTTTAAAATTTTTATTTGGAAGATGGTTAGAAAAAGATGAGATTGAGAACACATGGAAGTTTTAAATGAGTGAATTCCATGTTCCTGAATTGTTCTTATATACAAAGTAGGAGAAATTATCTGTGGCAAGCACTTAATCAATTGTCCCCATATCTGCAGGTTTTAGGGATCACAACAAAATGCATACAGACCCATTTGTGGGACTCATTTTTAAAACCTGAATCTGTGCTATTAATATTCAATTTTAACTTCTTATAACCAAGAATGTCTTTTTGAGAAAATAATTTTAGTGATACCAATCTATTCCATTATTCATATTAAAACTGAAATTAATATGTAGCTCTTAGATCTGGGATATATATAACCAGTCAATGTTGCTGTTCTTGAGACACTTAATGCCAATTTAATTTTTTGTGTGTATAATGTTACCAAAGGTTTGGCATGGACCTTGGGATTAGAGTTTAGTGGAGCAGAACGTTCCTGAGTTTCTGTCTGTGACACATTCAGGAATATTATATTTCAATGACTTCCTATTTCATTGGTTTAAATAAAGTGATGCTAGACTGAGAAGCAGATACTGATCAGTAGACTGTTCTGAAAATTTAAAACAAATAACTAAATTAAAAGTTTAGTGAAATAGAGATAATCACACCTCCTGCTAACTGAAACACCTTGCATGAATCTTCAGTTCACCATTTCACTGACAGCGGAGAACTCTTGATTTCTAGGCCAGAAGAGAAAGAAAATTCTTGAAGATGAAGGTTCTTCTTCTCTCTGCACTAGCTTGTTTGGTGTCTGCCACTGAGGAACCCTTACCGGTAAAAGGATGTGGTTTCAGGGGGCTAATGCAGGGGCAAAAATGAATATGGCAAATTTGACAATTTTTGACCTCACAATCAATGTGATTCTATGAAAATATTGGTACATCCCAACTTTTTGTAGTGTAATGTAGTCCCATCTCTTAAAAAATATGTTTCAGTGCTAAGATTATAATTACTTCATTGGAGCTTCCTAAATTGCCTAATAGTATTTTTCTGACAAATGGTGATGCCATATGCATTAATTTCAGCACTCAAAGAGACATAGGTAAGCAGATCACTGTGGGTTGGAGGCCAGGCTCATCTACAGAGTGTGACTTAGGGCAGCCAAAGCAACACAGAGAAACCCTGTCTTATAAAACCAAATAAAAGCCACATTTTCTTGTCTTAATTTCCATTGAATTATGCATACTTTACCATATGTTCATAGTTGAAAATTAGTACACCATTTCATGAAATATTTCAACATCCTACAGGAACTCAGGGATGCTTTGCGATAAACATAATAGAAAATTTAAATCAATTTAATATATGGCTGACAAATACATTATCTAAGATGTATTTGAGACATGGATCTGTCAATGTTTTAGAGTCATCCTACTGTGGTCAATGTGTTGAATAATATTGATATAAATTACAATCCATTCATGTTTACAATATAAACAGTTTCTTGTCTCTCTGTCTCTCTGTCTCTGTCTCTCTGTCTCTCTGTCTCTCTGTCTCTCTGTCTCTCTGTCTCTCTGTCTCTGTCTCTCTCTCTCTCTCTCTCTCTCTCTCTCTCTGTGTGTGTGTGTGTGTGTGTGTGTGTGTGTGTGTACTTTATCATAGGCTCACAAACCCTGCAGCAAAGGTTAGATATCAGAGGCAAAATCACTCAGCAGGTTCACTTCATTCCTTCCACATTTAATCACAAGGATTTCTCCATGGAAAATTGATCCCAATACTTTGGCATGAAACAGATGTTTTATAATCCACATATGCATTAGATGCAATTTATATGTGGATATTATTATATTTTCTTTTAGATTATTTATGTGCTCTGAGGTTGCTTCATGGTAGGAAACTATAAACTATTATTTAAACATTTCCTCAAATGTATTTTACATGATACAATACTACTATCCTTTATTAAATAAATGTATAGATGTTTTCAAATAATATGTCAGGCATTTTAATAAATGAAAAGAAATATATGAAAATGTTATTACATTATGTTTATGATAAATTTTTATATAACATTATAAAAATGCTGTCTTTACTTGAAAATCTATAATTTATTATTTTTTCTTAGCATTGTTTTATATTAAAGGTTTTACTAATTTTATTTTGTTATTTTAAATGTGTGGTGTTTGTTCTAAGTGTTGAATTTTGTATATATAGTACCCACAAGTGCCTTATAATGCTCCTCAGAAATGAAGTTACAGGAGTTTGTGTACCAGTATGTGGGTGCCAGGACTTAAACCCAGATTCTCTGGCTGATTCGAATACATATTAAGTTTTAGTTTTGAGGAATCTAACTAATACTAATTTTTAGTTTTCAGGAAGTTATAATACCATATACCTAGCATCCAAACGTCAGAGTGTGACGGATGAAAATAGTGAATATAGGATGCTGATGCGTGAAGTGAATTATTTTAAGAATTACAAATACATGAGTATGACATTCTATGTTAGGTAAGAAAATTTTATTCATGTAGAATTAATATTTGTTTAAATGGGATTCAAAGCATTCCCCCAAAATTTCTGAAATGGAAAGATAATGTGGATGTAATCCAAGAACAGTTGGATTTGTCTAAACATTTAAACTTTAGTATTCAAGTCTTGATATTTCAGTTTTCTTTGTATTAAAATAGTGACAATATCGACTAAGGGCATGCAAAAACATATTATGAAAAAACAATGTTTGCTCAAAATAAAACATCAATAAATGTGTATATAATTAAAGGGAAAATTGAGATAGTAAATATAAAAAAATGAATGTTCATAATCTCACCGTGAAAAGCACTCCTCTTCTTGAAAACCCTCCTGATATTTGGATACTTACCATTGCATCGATAAAATTACTGGTGTCAATTTTGTGATATGGGAAATCCTTTCCATTATAGGTCTGGGGCACGTTTTCATCCACACAGCACATTGTGCTCAGAAAACTGGTCCACACCCAAAGGGAATCACCAATCAAAAATACTATTAATGAAAATATGTACAAATCCTGGAATAACGTGACAGAAAGCCTGTCACTTTCACCATGTTTATTCTTCTTGTTTCAGAAACACACATGGAAATATAAATGCTAAATAATGTGTGATTGTTATTTGTTATATTGTGTTTAGGAAAGATGGGAAGTGCCAAATCCACAAGGCCTGGGCTGATAAAGTTTTTTACAATTTATGCTATGATAAATGTGAGTATCTCAAGTTGAGAATTGGTGATGTTGTTTATATTTCCTGTAACCAATCCCCAATCCCATCTTAATAGCTGGAAGATTTCACAGATACGAGTCCATTGTTTCTTATGTTACAGATTATTTAAAACTTCGTAAGTGCCCACAAAGGAAAGGTACCGCCAACATTATAGGTAACTGGAGGTTGCATGAACCCTATCGTCATTTCCCAAATATGTACTATCTCCCAAAGCCACAGGGAGGCATACAGAGATGTGAGTAAAATATCCATAATTGTTTTTTCACAAAATCGAAGAAAATAAATAATGCATTTGAATGTTGCAACATGATGCAAAAAATAAATTAGCAAATGAGAAAACTTACAAATAAATAAATCAGTATATGTTTTGCTAAAGTTGGTCAGTACAGCCAAGTATATTACTTTGACATGTTATACTAGGAATTAAGGAAATGTTTCCCTGACTCATTAAATTCAATCTCAAAAATGACAGTATATTTTTCTCCTAACAATACTGAGATTATTATGAAAGATGTTTTACCAATGCTTTTAGAAATAATATAATAAAATTAATATTATGCTGGGCATTGGTGGTGCATGCCTTTAATCCCAGCATTTGGGAGCCAGAGGCAGGCAGTTCTCTGTGAGTTCGAGACCAGTCTGTTCTACAGAGCAAGTTCCAGGACAGGCTCCACAACAATACAGAGAAACCGTGTCTCAAAAATAAAAAATAAAAATAAGTAAATAAATAAAGTGAATATTACATATATACAAGCAACATTATATGGACCAAAGAGTTATGTTTATGAAGAAATATATGTATATATTATGTTTATTGGATTACTCATCATTATTTTATGCAATATAATACATTATATAATACATAATTTATATATAATATATATACTTATACAATGAATACAAGCATGTGACCATAATTAGTGGAAAAGGGAACTGAATTTGAAGGAAGATGTGGAAGTGTATGCACTATAATTACAGGAGGAAAAGGAGGTGGCAAAATGGTTGTAACAATATTAAAATATCAAGATCACAAAAAATAAGTAAATACAGGAATATATGAGAATCTGCATAATGTACTGAGGGAAAGTTATTTCTTTCCAGTCCCAACTGACTTTCACATTGGAATTAATTTTGCCTCAAACACCACCATTCTACTTGAAGCCTGGTATACTAATAATTTGGGGAACAAAGAGAAGCTGACTGCAGCACTGGGTATGTAAAAATAACATAGCAGAATACTATTTTCTCTTTATTATGCTCTGCAGCATAAATATGGACCTGCATTTCATTCCATGATGCACTGGTGTAGGAGTGTGTTCACTCAATTTTTTTTTGGAATGTCATGATTGTGTGAAATTCGAATTGAATTGTAGTAATTTTAATTGTACTTATTTTTAATCATCTTACCTATAATGGAATGTAAGTATAATTATCTATCCAATGAAAGAATGTATAATCAAATTTCAGAATGATTTGTCTAACTGGCATCATCACTAGGGAGGTGGGCTCAGGTAGCAGAATTGCGTAACAAATGACAATATGATGAACTCAGACTTTTATGTGTGGTTATAATGAATATCTCCTCTGACTTTTCCTCCATGAAATGTAGCAAGAGGAACAAATATTACTGAACAAATGTGGAAAGACTATGTAAATTTGAACCGTCGGCTCAAAATCCCAACTGAAAATATTAATAATGTACATAAGACAGGTAAGCCTGTTTCTGTAAAGTGATCTAAAATTAGTGCAAAGATTCTTGTTTTTATCTCACCAATGTAAAATCCTTACAGAAAACATGACTGAATTGTAATAATATTTAAAATTTTTCTTCTTTTATGTTGTTCTTAACAGATGCATGCCCTAAATTGGTGCAGTGATCCTGGGAGTAGAAACACGGTTTTGTTCTATATTCTTGACTTATTAGAATTTAATTTTGAGGTTGATTCAATCATGCAAACACAAAGTGTTCATAGCTGTCACTTTTAAACTTTTGCACACCCATCTGTTATTGAAAAATCATTACTGGCTTCATGTCTGATTAAATACATTGATTTCACACATTGCAAAATTGTTTTTAATAAAGTACCAAATGTGCATCATGTAGAGGGTTCTTCTAGGTGCTAAAATATTGGCCGCTTTCATCAGCTCATCATGAATGGTAATAGTTTGTGAACTTTGGAATTTGTCAGCTAGAAAATTATAATGCTTCTAGGCATATCAGGTACTGTTTTCTGTGTAAATTTTTGCAGAAAAATTTAAGAAATATAATAATAAACACACAGTGTACACAGTCCCTAGGATGGTGAATTTTCATATTTACAGATCTGATCATACTTTATTACAAATTATAGTAGAAATTTTTCACAAAATGTATATATATATATACATTCATAGCAATTACCAATATTGAATTATTTAAAATTTGTGCTCATGAATATACACTAACATAAATACATATTGTACCAAGCAATTTAAAAAGAGCAATAGGGGACTTATGAGAGGATTTGGAAGAAAAAATGATATAATTATGTTTCCTTATTAAATAAAATGAGATAAAAATCAACCATCACCACTCACAGAAATGGCTTGAAGCATCAGTTTTGTATCATCAATCCCATCACTAGATAGTGAAGGGTAGAGATTGTGCTTATAACCATGGCAACAGTTCAGATCCCAAGTTTCAGTGAAGTACAGGAAGACCCTTTATCAAGAGTAGAGTGCAGGGCGACGGAGCAAACATTCTTTTACATGCTTGGATGCTTCCAGATAAATATATATCCCTGCAAACAGCAAACATGTTTTAATGCACACGCATGCAGGAGTTAGGATGCTACCACTAGACAAGTGATGCTGTTTATACAATTCGCATGCAAAATGCTGTGAGGAAATACCTAGAATTTCATCAATTTAAAAAAAATTCTCAATACCCATAGATTTTTTTCATACACTAACTTCAGATTACCAGTTCCCCTTCCCAGCACCATGCACCCAAATCCCTAACATTTCTGTTCCTTTGGCATGTGATTACAAACTAATATTTTATTAAATAAATAAAAACCCTCATATAAAAGAGTGTTCTGTGGGTGTGAATTGTTATAAGCCAAACAGCATTTGGGTTGAGTGTAAAATAAGAGGTAGAAAATGACAACAGCACTAGCCATGGCAACTTGATAGTGGGTGGTGGGTGTGATGAGTGCGCACATCTCATGGAACCCACCTCACCAGTTGTCGTGAATAGAAAAATTGTTCCTACACCTATGTCATTCAGTGACAGGGCTAATAATTCACATTTACATGCCAAGATTTTTGTGCTGAGTGGTATTGATTTAAAATAATATAATATACACAAAGAACTACAGGCAAATGAAGATGCCTGACAGTGGAAGAATTGTGTGGCTTAGGAATGCGATCTTTCATTGTTATCCAGTACCAGGTTGTCAAACCTGAAATTAAATATACGCAAAAAAACAACCAACAAAATAAAAAACAAACTCAGCATGTATCTTTTATACACTTACAGACATATATATTTATATAATGTAACAATAATAAAGAAGTTTGTGAATGTGAAAAGGAGTAAGGGGTACAGGAGTGGTTAGAAGGAGGAGAGTTTGGGGGCCAAGGATGTAACTATATTTTAATATGTAATATATGTTCATGTTTAGTGAACAAATATTTTGTCTTATACCATATATCTTATATACATCTTATATAATATATTATTAGTTGCATAACTAATAGATTTAATTGCTAATGGCCCAATTATATTAAATATAACATATTTAAATATAGTTTGATATTTATATGTTGATACAAATATATTAAATATATGTTATATGTCTAATATATAACATATGATTGTAATGTGGTGGTTTGAGTAGAAGTAGCTCCCTTAGACTCATATATTTGATTTCTTGTTATATTAGGGAATGATAGTACTAGAGAGAGATTATAAGTTTGGACTTTTTGGAGTACATGAGGTCTTGTTGGAGGAAGTTTGTCACTAGGGGTATGATTATGGGTTGCAAATGCTCAAGCCAGACTCAGTGTCACTAACTGCTACCAGATCATCAGTATGTACAACTCTCTGCTCCTTCTCCAACACTACGCTTGCAAGGAGCCATGCTAGCCACAATGCTGACAAAAGTGGTCAAAAGTCTGAAACTCTAAGCAAGCCCAGATTAAATACTTTCATTTATGAGAGTTGGTGGCATATCATGATGTCTTTTCACAGCAATAAAACACTGACTAGGTGTTGTATCGTAACTGCTTTTGCTTTTTTAAAAATATTTTTTATTATTTTAATTTTAAATAGATTGTTTTACATGTCAATCCCAGTTCCCTCTCTTTCCCCTCCCCCGCACCCCCCATCCCCCATCCTCCCACCCTATTGCCAATTCCTTCCTCATAGGGGATATCTAGAGTCTGTCATTTCACTCAGGGTAGGGTCCAGGCACTCCCCTAAGAGTCCAGGCAGAGAGAGCAACTCTCTTTGTATTATGGACACACGATGTCTGTTAGTATTCGAGGGATAAACACTGATCCAATGCTCAGGACCCCATAGGTAGCCCAGGCCCCCCCTACTCTCACATTCAGGGGGTCTGGATTGGTCCCATGCTGGCCTCCCAGCTGTCGGTCTGGGGTCCAAGAGCTCTCCCCTGTTTAGATCAGCTGTCTCTGCTGGTTTTGCCAGCCCATTCTTTGCCAATTTGCTCATCGCTCCTCTCTCTCTGTCACTGGGTTCCTTGGGTTCAGTTCAGTGTTTAACTGTGGGTGTTTGCCTCTGCTTCCATCAGTCACTGGATGAAGGCTCCAGGATAGTTATAGACATCAAGTTCATCATCAGGAATGGTCATTCGAGGTGGTCTCTAAACTATTGCTTAGCTTGCCAATTGGTGTCATCCCTTTAGATCACTAGAAGTCACAATGGTGCCTGATCTGTCTTCTAACCTATGATTCCCTCATCCTCCTATTCTACCCCTCCCCAGTCAACCTTCCTGTTTCCCCCAGGACCTACTCTCTTTTCCTCTTCTCATGCTTTTGCTTTATAATTAGAAACAATCTAAAAAAAAAGAAAATGGTTTGTTTGTTGGTTGTTTTTTAGTGAAAATTGTTAAAGTGAATTAAGCTGAAATGTAGACTCTAGAAAGTTCTGGAAGTCAAAAGTGTGCATCACCAGTGAAAGAATACTTGAAGTACAAATTTAGTGATCATAAAGGCTTTCAACTATTCAGGCAGCTGTACAGTGTTGGTGTGCCTAAATTTGTGGGTTCACCTCTAAGAATACTTCCTAATGTTCATAAAATTCCCAATTCAATACTCACCCTTCAAGTTCGTGACTGTGTTTAGATTCCTCTCTCCTTTCTCTTTCTCTTTTCTTTGCTTTCATTGAGAATTCTCATTGAAAGAAAGAAATCCCAAGAGAGATTCATGATACCCCAGATAAGTGGAATGGATAAGAGGGAGCCACGAAAAAGAGAGGGGCATAAGAGGATGTGAGAAGAAGGTTTGGGGGAGCAGGAAGGTTGAGTTGAGGTAAGAATAGAGGAGAGCAGGATGAGAGATTGAGTCATTATAGGCTTGAGGAGAGAGCTGACACTAGTGAGATCTTCAGAGATCTACAAGGATAATACCAACTGGCAAACTAAGCAATAATGGAGAGAATATATTAAATGCCCCTCCTTGATGGTAAGGTTGATGACTACCTTATATGCCATCCTAGAACCTTCATTAGTGACTGAAGGAAGCAGAGACAGATACCCACAGCTAAACACTGATTTGCACTCCTGGAACCTAGTGACAGAAATGGAGGAGTGATGAGCAAAGGGGGATCAAGACCATGATTGTGAAACCCACAAAGAAAGCTGACCGGATAATGGGGAGCTCTTAAATCCCAGACTGATGCCTGAGAGGTCAACAGGGGACTGATCCAGACTCCATGAATGCAGTCTCGGTGAGGAAGCTACAGAAATCACTGGTGCCATGGGTAGTAGATCAGTGTTTATCATGATTTATGAATGATCTTTGGGAGCCCATTCTAAATAGAGGGATGCTCTCTCAGCCTGGACACATGGGGAAGGGCCTAGGTCCTGCCCTGGATGAAATGACAGACCTTGGAGATGCCCCAAGGAGGGCCTAACTCTCCCTGGGAAATGATGTGGGGGTTGGTTGGGGGACTGGAGGAGCTGGTGGAGGGACAAGGGAGGAGGGTTGGGAGATGGAGCTGGGATTGACATGTGAAGCATTCATGTTTATAATTTAAATAAAAAAGAAATTTCTCAGAAAAATTAAAAGCAATCACCTTTCCTTTCTTTCATCATCACCTCCCATCAGTAGTGCATCTTGTTTGGATAGCAGAGAACATAAAACGTTCATTCATGAGAATACATGATACTATTTCCTAAATACTTCAAAAAGAAATAATAACACATAATGCCAGTTTTTGAAACAAATGAGTCAATGCTGTTTCATACTTTGAAAATACCAGTTTCTCATTCTTAATCTGAAGGGAGGGGGCTGAACTTGAATGTAAGTGACAAACTGACCCCAGTAGAAACCTGGCAGAGAACCACAGTTGAAAGCAGATTTTTATTGCTCAAGCTTGCATGCTTCCTTCTTAGAAATCCTGGCTAGGACACAAATCAAGAGGTTACACTTTTTAAACTCCTGTGTCCTGCTTGATTCTGTGGATTTAGGTTTAAATGTAAAATGCTTATTGAGGAGACTTGCATTATATCATGATTCAAGATTTTTGAGAGAGGGATAGTGATTAACTTTTCATTGTGGGCAAGAGTATTAGTATAGGCTGCCTATAACCAGGTGTATAAGCCCACATATATGAGAAACACTAACTGTATTTTGTGGGTTAGAAATAAAACAAAACAAAAACATACGTCTAAGACAAAATGGGAGATATTTGAGAAGTTAGTATTTGATAATACTTCACTTTACATGATTAGGGGATAGAGCCTATTAGTGGTTAGGGAGAGAGAGAATGTGGGGGAGAACTATTTTTGTCAGCAATGTATTTTTATCGAATAAAAGGTGTTCTGACTT